TGACAGTCATTAAACCTGCCATTTACTAAGTGACCACTATGTGCTAAGTACTGTGATGAGGGGCCCCTGGATTCCCTCTTGTTTGAGCTAACGAGAACTCTGGGAGGTGCACACAAAAAATGACCTCTCGCTGCAGATCAGGAAGTGGAGGCTAAGGAAGGGTAACTTTCCAAGCTCACCTGCTGGAGTTGCTGGAAGGCGTAGCTGGGATTAGCTCAGAGCAAAACCCAGCCCTTGACCACTACACTGCTCCTTGGCCTCCTTCCTTGGGATGTCTGGGATGGAAGGTAGGAGAAGCATCTTACGATTTAGGAAAGGCGTCTCCTCCAGACACCTGCAGGAAAGAACCACAGGCCAAGGAGAGAACTGACACAGGAAGCTGGAGGAAGATCCAGACCGAGCCATGGAATGTTCTGGAAGCTGAGCCGGAAGCCTTGTCTCTGTGCCTGTGTATTTCTGCCCCATGAAGCGTCAACAGCCAGAAGGACCTTGCTGCTTTGGCCAGGGTCACACCACTGACTGCCCTCAGGAAGGGTGACACGTGGGGACGCTGCCGGGGGCTGCTGGAGCAATGACAGGGGACAGGCTGGAATGACAGGGCCACCATGTTCCTGGGCAAAAGATTACAGGACAGCTGCCCACAGCCTGAGCAGTGCCAGCAGCTGCTCCAGGCCCTCCCAGTTTCCCAAGTAGCTATTGTGGCTTTGATTGAAAAGGGGTCACAGTCACATGTTTAAGAGAAGTGTAATTTCTTTGGCTGGAGGTTATGTTCCGGAATGCTGCACATCAGCCAGGCCCTGGCGACAAGTGGGAGGGGCTACAGGGAGAAGAAATCAGTTGTTAAATCTCTGCAGGATGCTATAGCTTGCAGATGCCTCATAATCATTATCTGCGTGAACTGGACAAGAACCCTGGGAAGAAAGCAAGGCACAGAGACGTTAAGGGACTCATGCCAGACCACACAGCGAGTCAACAGCAGAACCATAGTGGGTCCCTCAACTTTTGGATTCCAAGTCAGTTCAGGCATTCCACACCCAAGCTACCAAGTGTTCTAACAGCAACCAGAATGGGGAAAGAGAGGACAATGTTTTTTCTGACCATCTCTGTGCAACTGAAATCACGGGGAAATAAGTTGCAAACATCTCGCATTTTATTCCTTGTCAAAGCACTTTCACCGGCAGGTAGGGAAGGGAGTAGGTGATGGACAGAAAAAGAAGTGGAGGCTCAGCGTGGTAAACACATTGCCTAAGGCCACACAGCTGCAAAGAGGAAGTCCTTGTCCTTGAGCTTTGCTAAATTCCAGCCCCATGCCCCTGTTCTCACCCCAGGCCTGGAAGCATTTAGTGTGGCCAAGCGGTGGAAACGGCCCCCAGGCTGTGGTTGCGAATGCTGGATATGATCTGTCCAAACCAGTGGCTTCCTCCCTGTCTGTCCCGGATCCACCCAGATGGCTGCCCCATGCAGCCCAAAGACAAGTAGCAAAACAGCCATCCTGGCCCTCCACCCTGCCACTCTGGCCAGGCCAGGGGCCTGTGGCTTGGCTGTGCCTGCCAGGCCCACATCATAGTCCTGGAATAGCTGTCACTGTCAAACAGATGTGACCACACGGGCCCCCAGGATGGCCCACGGATGTGTCCACGTTGCAACCATCTCCTTTGCCCTAACTTTAAAAAAGTTATTTATTGGAGAGGCAGAGAGACAATGATATGGGGGAGAGGGAGAGAGAGAGAGAGAGAGAGAGAGAGAGAGAGAGAGAGAGAGTCCAAGAGAGAGAGCTCCCATCTGCCCGTTCATCTCCCTACCCCAAATGCCTGCTGGCTGGTGCTGTGCTGGTGTCACAGCTGGGAACTGAGAACCACTCAGGTCTCACATGAGGATGGCTGGAGCCTGGACACTGAACCATCACCTGTTGCCTCCCCGGGAATGCAGTAGCAGGAAGCTGGTAGCAGGGGCGGAGCTGGGTACTGAACCCAGGTGCTCTGACATGGATGTGGGCACCCTAAGCAGGTCTTAACCACTAGCTCCCATGCTCCTGTCATAACTTCTCAATGCTGCGGCCTTGTTTTCTCTTGTCCTACCTCTAAGTTCTGCTATACTTCTAATGTCTTTTTAAAAAGATACTTCATTCATTTGAAAGGTAGAGCGACAGAAAGAGAGGGAGAGAGAGAGATCATCCATCCGCTGGTTCACTCCCAAAGGCCACAACAGCCAGGCTGAAGCCAGGAGCCCAGAACTCCACCCCCAGGGCTCCCACATGGGTGGCAGGGGTCCAAGCCCTTGGGCCATTTCCTGCTTACTTCCCAGGCACATTAGCAGGGAGCTGGATAGAAAGCAGAGCAGCCGGGACTCAAACTGGCGCTCCGATACTGGGTGCTGGCATGGCAAGTGGCGGCATAGCTTAGCTGCACCACAACGCTGGCTCTATGTTCAGCCAAGAGACCCAAGAGCTGAGCTGGACATCCTGTGTGGGAACCAGGGGCCTGGGGTCTTCATGCCTGAGGACAGTGGACGACAATCACCCCCTCCCGGGACTGATCACTGCCCAGATGCCCCCACCTCTACCCCAGGCTCCCCTAGCATCCTGGCAAGGCTGCTCACTGGTACATGGGCCCCAGGGGAGCCCATTTGGGGCTGCATTTGGGGCTGCACTTGGGGTCCAGCCTCCTCTGCCGCTGTGGGGTGCAGGACGCCCCATCCGTTAGCAGCACAGCATCGCTCCCTCCCCCCTCCCATCACAGACTGGAAGCAACCCCTGTGCTCCTCGCCAGAATGGAGAAATCACCCGAGCACCAGCGGAACAGAGCACGGCGCACAGCCATGGAGGCCTCTGTGGTAGCGCACGTGGTGGCAAAGAAGGTGGCAGAAGCCTGCTTGCTTGCTTTTTTTTTTTTTTTTAAGAGTTACAGAGAGTGAGAGAGAGAGAAGTCTTCCATCCACTGATTCACTCCCCAAATGGCCGCAATGGCCAGAGCTGGGCTGATCCGAAGCCAGGAGGCAGGAGCTTCTTCCGGGTCTCCCATGTGGATGCAGGGGCCCAAGCAGTTGGGCCATTTTCTATTGCTGCTTTCCCAGGCCATAGCAGAGAGCTGGATTGGAAGTGGAGCAACCGGGACTTGAACCTGTGCCCATATGGGATGCTGGCACTGCAGGTGGCGGCTTTTTCCACTACACCACAGCACCGGCCCCGCCTGCTTGCTTTCCAACACCATCTTTCTAAAGCCTTGTGCAGGACAGGCCAAGGGATTCCTCATGGGGACCCTCTTGGGAGAGGAAAGTGCTTGTTTCAAAGCAAGGGAACGGTCAACACAAAACTCAGAGTAAGGCCACTTATGGGCTGGGTGGGGCGCAGGATGGGGAGAGGTGCACTCAGTGGAGGGCCTGGGGCAGGGCGGGGCTGATGGTTTTGTTGCTCTGCCTTGTGGCTTACAAGGATGTCCTGCGTGTCCTTTTTTGCATGTCGACTTTCACAAGATGACCTTACAGACGCGATGGAGAGGGTCCCAGAGCCATCCTTCTCGGCTTCTCCTGCCACTCTTCTTCCACAGGTGGCAGACCAGCATGTGCCCACTGAGCGCCTGGACCCCACAGCCACCGCCCCACTGCGCTCTCCTTCCCCAAGTCCTTGCAGTCCACTCTCACGGCTGACAAGCGCCCAGCAGGCCCCTCGTTTGCAAGTCCAGCGGATGGCTTCAGTGCTGGGCTCAGCTGCGTCTCCCCAGCGTCGGACAGGGGTCTGCCCACTTCTCCCAGTGCCCCTGCCCTGGCATCCGGGGACAGGTCCTCTCCCGAGAACCCCATCTCGGTCTCCATGCACTGCTGCTGCTTAGCATCCCCTGTCCACCCCCTGTCAAGTGGTGTCCTTGTCTGAGGCCCTGTCCCGCCCCTGCTGTCTTCAGCATTCATCTCTGTCTCCAGCCCGGACCTCTCTCTCCTGAACTCCGGGCCCAAATATCCGTCAGCCTGCTCCACCTGTCCACTTGGATAGCACACGGGCACTTCAAGTCCAATTCCCAACCTCCCCCCGACAAGCCTGATCCCCTATGGGTGGCCTCCGTCCAATCAGGCCAGTGCCCGAGCCACCTGCGAGTCAGTCTGGGTCATCCCCGCCATCTCTCTCCCCAGCCCCACACAGTCACCAGGTGCAGCCCTTCACCCTCTACACACAGCCCTCAGGCGGATGCAGCCCCTCCCTCTCCACCAAGACCTCCTAACCCCAGCCAGCATCCTCTCTTGGAAGCAAGCAAGTCTCTGCCTCCTCCAGGCTGGCCTCCATCTGTTCCCTACTCTACAGACACACTGCCTATCTGGGTGCATCCGACCCTTGCTTAGAGTCCTCGGGTGGCCAGGCTCTGCCCAACTCGCCCCTACCTGCCTTTCCCACCCCATCTGCCCTCCCCTCCCTCTAACCATCCTGAACTCCCTGCGGTGCCTCGGACACATTGCACCTCCCTTTTGCATTCCAGGGTGAAAACCACTTGCACTGCTCCCCCGCCCCACCCAGCCCTTGCCTCTTCTGACTCCTCCTTCAGGCTCCAGCTGAATGGCCATTTGGCGGGGAGGCCCTTCCTGGCCGCACCTGTCCCTCCCTCCCAGAGAACGCAGTCTCGCAGTACCCACTGTGCGTCCTGTTCTGGCCTAGCATTCCCAGCACTTTCTCGTAACGGCATTTTAAATTATTTGTCTCCTGCCCCACAGACTCGATGCGTCAGCCAGCAGGGGTCCTCTCCCTAGTGCCTACAGCAGCGCCTGGCCCCTACCAACAAGGAAGCGGAGCCAACTATCGAGTGCACGAGTGGCGCTCTGCCTTGCGTAGTCATCTCACGGAGCTCGCATCAGGGTGCTCTGAGCTAAGTACTATGACCCTCGTCTCATTAGGAACAGGAGGGAAGTAGCAAGCTGGAAGCCAAGCCCGGCTTCTGTGCCACCACCCACGGTCCCCACCCTCTGGCCATCCCAGCCTCCCCAGGTCCCATCCGGGCTCAGAAGCCGGCGCTGCTTACCTGGAAGCAGGTGGGGCCGGGCCTGCCGGTGGGGATGTCTGACTGGTAGAAGACTTTGAGCTCTGGAGTCAGGGCGATGACGGTCTTGATCACCAAGGAGATGATGTCAGACCAGACCTTCTTGATGTCGACGCCTTTGGAAGACAGCCTGCAGAGGATGCTGGAGAAAGTCCTCTTGCTGCCCGTGCTTGCGCTGTCCGAGTGGATGAAGTTGCCACTGTGGATGTTCAGCGAGTAGTTGGTCAAGTGCATGAAGACGTGGTGCAGGTTTTGGGCGCTGGGCTCCTGGTAGGGCTCCGTGCAGAACCTGGAGAGCCCGTCTTTGGCTATGTAAATCTCCAAGGGGTCTAAGGACTTGAGTAAGACGTACAGGCGAATATCAAACTTGAGCTTGTCGATCAGGAGGGGCTTACACATGTACTCCTGGACCACCGCCGGCCGGCTCTGCAGGGTCCCTGCCAGGCGGGCGTCAGTGGGGTCTTTGATGAGGTAGATTCCGTCCCCCTGACAGCCGCCATCAGGTTTCACAATAAAAGTGGGTTTCCAGGAGGGGTCCCCTTCTTTCACCATTTGTACCTGCGGAGACACGGAAGAACAGCTTAGCCCCACACCCTCTCCCGCTCTGGAGCCCCGATACGGAGAAAGATCTTAGCAAATGTTTGGCGGATGAGTGACAAAAGGATTGCGCTGCCTCTCTGGGTACACCTGATCAGCGTCCCTGGAGGTGACAACCGCCCTGGGTGCTGAGACAGTGACGTCCCAATGGTTCCCACTCCTGTGCTCACAGGGTGCAGCGTATAGGACATCACGAGACCTGGGTTTGGGTCCTGGTTTGCCAGTTACTAGCTATAGCCTTGAACAAGGTTCAAGGCCGCTGATGGGTGCCGACAGCGTGCCTGGTCCCGTGTCAGGTTAAAGGTTGATGTCCTGTTGAACCCTCACAGAAAACAGGAAACAGGCCGGCGCCGTGGCTCAATAGGCTAATCCTCCACCTTGCGGTGCCGGCACACCGGGTTCTAGTCCCGGTCAGGGCGCCGGATTCTGTCCCGGTTGTCCCTCTTCCAGGCCAGCTCTCTGCTATGGCCAGGAGTGCAGTGGAGGATGGCCCAGGTGCTTGGGCCCTGCACCCCATGGGAGACCAGGAAAAGCACCTGGATCCTGGCTCCTGCCATCGGATCAGCGCGGTGCGCCGGCTGCAGCGGCGGCCATTGGAGGGTGAACCAACGGCAAAGGAAGACCTTTCTCTCTGTCTCTCTCTCTCACTGTCCACTCTGCCTGTCAAAAAAAAAAAAAAAAAAAAAAAAAAAAAAAAAAAAAAGGAAACAGAGAGGGTGTAGCAGCTGTTGGGGGGGAGGTGTCAGGTGCCTGGGTTCACAATCTGGGCCCTGCTCCTCGCTGTGTGACCTGGGCAAGTCACTGAAGTTATCTGTGCCGTGCTCACCTGTGAAACGGGTGAGATGTTACGGGAGACAGTGCATGCATGGGGCCCATCGCGCACAGCCTGATACCCAGAGGGAGGCCGAAAGTCTCACTTCTGCCTTCTGCCATTTTTAAAGATTTATTCATTTGAAAGGCAGAAAAAGAGAGAGAGAAATCGTTCATACGCTGGTTCACTCCTCAGGATGGCCACAATGGCCAGGGCAGAGCCAGGAGCCAGGAGCTTCATCTGGGTCTCCCAAGCAGTTGGGTCATCCTTCGCTGCTTGTCCTGCATTAATGGGGAACTGGATTAAAAGCTGAACAGCCAGGACTCGAACCAGTGCCCATATGGGATGCCAACATCACAGGCAGTGGCTTTACCAGCTGTGCCACAGCGCCGGCCCCCAGATCAATGATTTTAGAACCTTGGTGCCTTCCTCTACACTACCATGCCCTCCCTGTAAAAACAAGGATATTCAAACCCACCCCTATTGTAAAAATGAGAGAAATGAATCCGCACTAAGGGCCAAGCCTAACGCCCCCCAGAGCTGGTGCGTAGGAAGTGCGTGTTTTACTGTTTCCATCCTCATCAGGTTCCCCTAGTAGACTTGGCCAATTCTTCCATCTGCTGAGATTTTCATGACACTGGACTGTGTCATCCACAACATTGTTCTCCTCCCAGCTCCAGGCCAGCAGGACACTCCCACAATTATCCGGGCACGTGACCAGACTTGATGGCTGCAGTGCCAACATCCCATATGGGTGCCAGTTTGAGTCCTGGCTGCTCCACTTCCAATCCAGGTCCCTGCTGAAGTGTCTGGGAAAGCAAATGCCCAAATGCCTGGGCCCCTGCCACCCTGTGGGAGACCCAGAAGAAGCTTCTGGCTCCTGCCTTCGATTTGGCCCAGCCCTGGCCATTGTGGCCGTTTGGGGAGTGAACCAGCAGACCAAAGATTTCTCTCTCTCTCTCTCTCTAACTCTGCCTTCCAAATAAATAAATCTTATATATAAAAAAAGAGGAGTAGCTGAGTTCCTGAGGAGAGGGTCCCCATGGTGGCAGCAGGGGCTTTATAAGAGGAGGAGCAGAGCCCCATGTCTGTCCCACTGCGTGACGCCCTCTGCCATGTTACAGTGCAGTGAAAGGCCCTCACTGGTGCAGTGAAAGGTGGTACGTCTTTGTACTGGACTTCCGGCCTCCGCAACCAGAAGAGACACAGTTCTTGTCTCTATAAAGTACTCGGTAGCAGGTGGCACTAAGAAAATGGACTAAGACTCCCAGAAGGCACATGCGAGATGCTTCATGCAGTTCTGGGGAATGGACAGACTGGGATAGCAGAAGAGGAGGCTGTCACCAGGGCCCAGGGGCTGCAGCAAACTTTAGAGGGAGCCACACTCTCTGCCCAGCCTGAAGCCCCCTCCAGAACTCTGCAGCTGAGGGCAGGCCCAGCAGGTGGAGCTGATGGCACGCCCCCGCGCTGGCTGCCCAGAGCCCTCCACCTGCGCAGGCGCACCTGACCCAGGACACCTGCACCGTGGCCGGTGCTTGTCTCTTGGACCAGCCTATTTTTCTAAGTGGAGCTTTTGCCAATTCCTTGCGAACTATCAGTTGCTCTGGGCTTGTAAAAGATCTTTAACAATGGAGAAACACTCAAAGCCTTTATCATGGTCTGTATCAGTTGGTCCCCCTATCAGCAGGGTTTGAGGCAGGAACATGGGAGATCAATGCAAGCCTCCCAGGGCCTTCCACTGAGCCCTTCTTGCAACTGCGACCTTGGCGTTTAGGTAGTTATTTAATATTCATCCAAAACGTCATTGCACTTGGCTCTTTACAGTAAACACAAGCCGGCTGGACAGACGACGGTCACGGATCAGGAGGTGCACAGTGTTAGGTGCGCTGATGGGTGGTTTTCCTCTCCGGAAAGCTCTTGCTGTGCCAAAGATGCTAGTAGTTCAATATTTTATCAGGAGCAATATTTTCTCCTTTGAATTCAGCATATGTGTCTTAAATAAATTATACTCCAGGGTCAATAGTCTCTGTCATTCACTGCATTACTGAATCTTTCTCCCGCTCTTTGCCAGGGTGCTACCTACAAACCCATACCCACAGAATCGTTGATTCAGGGGGAGCTGAAAGGATCCCTGGAGACTAACATCTTCCAGTCGTTGCGTAATTCCAAGGGGAAACTTCGCTGGCGGTCATGCTGGGCCCCATGGCCTCCTGACCCCACCTCAGGCGCACCATGCCGTTTTTAGCCCTAGAGACAGACAGTGAAAGGTCTCGCCTTCCAGATTCCTGGAGGGAGGATTCACTCAAGGTTCCAGACAGTTTTGAAATCTGAGCTATGGCGTCACGCTGACCAGTTTAGCGCCTGAGCGTGGCTGTCTTGGAGCTGGATGTGCAAGTGCTGAGTCGGCCGGAACCAGGACTGCCCCAGTGTCAGCTCTTCTGTCTGGGTTCCCGGCTAGTGAAACTACAGATGCCTTTTTTTTTTTTTTTTTTTTTTGACAGGCAGAGTGGACAGTGAGAGAGAGAGAGACAGAGAGAAAGGTCTTCCTTTTGCCGTTGGTTCACCCTCCAATGGCCGCCGCAGCTGGCACGCTGTGGTTGGTGCACCGCGCTGATCTGAAGCCAGGAGCCAGGTGCTTCTCCTGGTCTCCCATGGGGTGCAGGGCCCAAGCACTTGGGCCATCCTCCACTGCACTCCCTGGCCACAGCAGAGAGCTGGCCTGGAAGAGGGGCAACCGGGACAGAATCTGGCGCCCCGACCGGGACTAGAACCCGGTAAGCCGGCGCCACAAGGCGGAGGATTAGCCCATTGAGCCACGGCGCTGGCCTAGATGCCTTTCTATAGGGAAAGCCTCATATGTAGTTGTTAGCACGTGGTTCCATGGCCACTGGGTCCCTTCTGCTCTCAAAAGAAAAAGACTTTTCAGAATCCGCAGGCCCTCTCCTCTGAGGCTTTATTCACGGAAGAGCCTTTCCCTCCAGGGAATGCCAAGAACCGATGCCCTGGTTCTTAGCAGGAACGAAAATACAGCCCTGGCCCAGCCCCAGGAAGTCAGAGCAGGGACCTGGGCATGACCATGGCTGAGCCTGATGTGTGTTCTGTCTGTGAGTCACTGGACTAAGGTGAATGAGACACAAATACAACCCGACACCCACATACTGGATGGAGCGCCATGCGTTGGTGTTTGCTGGTTACTCTTGGGCTACAGCTTGTGGTCATCTAGTTTTACCCAGACCTGCCCTTGCACGTGAATTCCATTACCTCGTCCTTGTGTACCTGAATGGCTGAAGGAGACACACGGGAGAAGGAGTGGCCTGATTACTTAGCTATACTGTCGGGGCTAATGAAAATTTTGGTGCATCTTTTACTGCCCCCTAGTGGCTGTGTGGGAAATGAGCCTGGGAAAGTCGCCTTGCCTGAAATTCCAACACTTCTTTAGCTGTTAGATATCAAGATGTCAAATGGTATTGAAGAAGCACGCTGAACATGGAATATGACTCAATCATTAAGAAAGAAAGATTCTGGCACAGACTACAACAGGGGGAACCAGAGGGCCTTATGTTAAGTGCCCTAAACCAGACCCATGAAGACTCACTCATTAGCGACCTAGGGTAGCTAAATTCATAGAGATAGGAAGTTCAATGATACTTGCTAGGGGATAATGAGGAGTTAGCATTTTTTATGATTTATTTTATTTATTTGAAAGGCAGAGTTAGAGAGAGAGAGAGAGAGAGAGAGAGAGATATCTTCCATCTGCTGGTTCACTCCCCCAAATGGCTGCAAGGGTCAGGGCTGGGCCAGGCTGAAGCCAGGAGCCAGGAGCTTGTTCTGGGTCTCCCACATGAGTGCAGGAGTCCAAGTACTTGGGCCATCTTCCACTGCTTTCCCAGGTGCATTAGCAGGGAGCTGGACCTGAAGTGGAGCAGCCCAGACTCGAACCTGCACCCATATGGGTTGCCGGCACTGCAGGTGGTGGCGTAACCCTCTGTGGCACAACTCCAGCCCTGGAAGTTAGCATTTTACTGGGACGGTGCTTTAGTTTCGAAAAATGAAGGAAGCTGTGGAGATGGATGGTGAAGGTGGTCCCACAATAATGTGACTGCCCTGAATGCCACTAAAACGCACACTGAACCAGTACTTAAACTGGGGG